CCTGCTCTGAGCCCAACCAGGGGCTGCACCTAGGGATTGGGCCTGCCCTCTGCCACCCGGGAGCAGGCCTAAGCCAGCAGGTCGTTATCTCCCGAGGTGTCCCAGACTGCGAGAGGGCGCAGGCTGCGCTGAGGGGCCCACCTCCCCCCCGAGTGAACAAATTTTTGTGCACCGGGCCTCTAGTATTTGTATAATTAGGAACTCAGTTTTTGGCTACTGTGAAATCCCAAGATGTGTTTTATGAACATTTAAGGATATTATCATTCACATCATATTAAGTGCTGATTTAGTGGTTTATTTGGACCCTGATGTTGGATTATTAAAGTACAAGAAATGCTTTTAGGAAGAAAATAGCAGATAAGTGAAGTGATGTTTAAAAAAAAATTTTTTTTTGCTCATTCTATGCAACAAATTATTCTTTTGAGAACTTGCTTCTTCTATAGTAGAGGAATGTCAATATTTTACACTTTAATTGCTTTTTTTCCTTACTACTTTTTTTGACTAAGAGAAGCAGCTACTAATGGACTCTCACCAGTGGTTTAATTTCTTTAAAATGTCTAATTGAGTAGCATGTTTAAATTTGAATGATCAAATTCAGAATACAGAGTTCGGTGAAATAGGACTGATCTCATATTTGGGTAATTTTTTCTCTCCCATTCTTTTATCCGCTCACACCTCCTCCCACATTATCTCATTATCACCAATGCAATGTACAGTGCTACGGGAAAAACAGAAGAATCATAGGAGAGGCTTCCCGCCTTAGGGCTTATGCATATTCTCTACTTGGAATGTGTTTCTTGCCATTCTTTGTTTAGCTAGCTATCACTCATTCTTTAGGTCTCAACTTAAAACATCACTTAATATGAGAAGCTTCCCATGACCTCATGGATTTCATATGAGGTGATAGACCACGTGTATTTTGTGCAATTTAGTTCTCCACAAGGTAGTGGAATGCTTGTCACATATCAGGAACTTATTAATTGGTATAAACTGTCATCATGCAGCTTTGGATCTAAATGGCAGAGGCAGATGGATAAACTAATTAAGAAATACAGTGTACTCAGTTTAATACTAGAAGCAGTTTGAGTTCACAGAGAAGGAAACAACCCTGCACAAGAGGAGAACTGGAGTCATTTGCTCTTCTGCTCCTTTTTAGAACTAGTATGATATTAGTATCTATTTTTCAAGTTAATTCACCAATTTAAAAACATTTGGAATATCTATTCATGCCCAAAAGTTCATAATAAAGCTTTCCAAAACAATTAAATTATCCATATTTTGTTTCTTGTGGCCTTTTGTTTAAAGTTGTTTTCTTTGAGATGTTTTACAAGATGGTGTGTGGGAGGTAAGTGAGAGGGAAAACTGTGATTCTTGTTTCTGGTAGTTTTTATTAAACTAATACGCTCTTGGATGTCATTTTTCTTTTTTGGTTCTTGAAGCCAGATATTTGAAATTTACCATTGTCATCTCTCTGAGCAACTATAACTTGTCTTTGTTGTATATACAATTATAAAGATGTTAATTATTCTTAAAACAGTTTAAGTGTCAGGTGATGGAAGAATATAAATGAATACATTAGTAGATAATATTTATGTTTAATATTTTTCATAGATAGCTGGTAATGTACTATTTACTTATCTTTATAATTAAAAAATTTATCTATATTATGTAATTAGTATAAAATATTTTAAAGACCTCACCTGAAAATTTAAGATTACAGTGATCTCCAGAAACATCTAGAGAGCATGAAAATGATTATTTTATTCATCTTTAAGCTTTATTTTTTTTCTGTTTCCTGCTTTTATGTTGTCACCTTACTCTTTCATTTTTGCAATAGAATTCAGTATGAAGATCCATATTATCTTCTTTATTTTTATTTATTTATTATTTATTGTCTAAAGTTTTACATATGTCTCCCCCCCTCCCCCCAGTTGATTCC